TGAGAGATGGAAAAAGACTCATACCAACAGATTTTTTGCCATACTTTTTAAATCTTCTCAAAAGTAAATGGGATTTATTGACTAAGTATTAAACTAGACAAAACGGATTCCTGCTTAATTAGTTACAGGGCAAAGCTAAGAAAAACGATGAATCTGCAATTATAAAAGCTGAGTAAAACAAATTTTTAAACTTGAAGTTTAAAACTGAAGAACGATTTCAATTCAAGCCGAATGCTCCGAAATTATAGACAGGCGGGATTTGTAGCACAAAGTTTGCAAGCAGAATCAAGAAATGGGTTCTACATGTGATAAAAATTCAGCGTTAGCTGCCGTCAAGATAAAGTTATTCCAGGCAGATATACAATAACGTGTAAAACTTCATGAAAAATATGACTTAAAACAGAGTTTCTTAAACTATGGGTCGCGACCCCCAGACCTGCAGCAGGGGGTCGCCAAAAATTTTATAGCAGTTTTGATATTTCTTTAACTTATTATAATAATTTTACAATTACCAAATATTTGTACACAATGTATCTGAAAATAGATAAAGATAAGATAATACATACAAAGAAAAAAACGAAAACGCTTCGACGATTCCTTTTTTAAAATATTGTAAGATTCCTTTCCTTTAAGTTAAATCTGAAAATGAGGAACCTTAAGAACTGGTAAGCAAATAATCGCTTAGTTCAGTGAACAGAGAGCTGAACTCAAGAAGGGTTAAATACCCTTTATTATTCAAAATAAATTTAACAGACGGCTCCTTCTTGGAGTTTACAAAAAAAGCCTCCACTTGGGCTTGAACTCCTGAATACTGAGAAGTAAAACTTAACTAAAAAAATATAGCCGAAGCTATCAAGATTCTAAGAGAGTTGGCCCCTTAACGCTAACTAACGGCGAAGCTACCAAGGGCCTAAAGTACGGCCGAGCGTAATAATAGCTTAGAGAGAGAGAGAGCAGCCTAAAAGGCGAACGCGCGCTGCTCAGAATATCTGGCTCTCTAATGAAGTAAGTAGAACTTCAAAGTTAAGTACTTCTACTTTTCATTTGCATTTGACCGCGATTCTGAAAATACGTTCTGGCTGGAAGTTGTAAGCTGAAATTAAGAACGAACAAGAAAGTAACTTTAACTAAAAATTAACTGTTAGAAACGCACGTGACGCTGTCATTTCGTCTGTTACTTATTTAAAATTTTCACATTGTTCTATGTCTTAAAATTAAAAATTATAGTTAATGATCTAAAGCTGCCATAGTATATTACAGTACAAGTGAAGAAATTGACAGTTTCACTCACGTTTGTGTTGGATTTACGCAGTGCTTATGGGATCCCATAAAATTTTCGTAAATATTAAGAGGTACTGGGGGTTATTTTTTAAGGCTGCGAAAAAGACGCACGATATCATAATGCCGGTAGAATATTAAATAAAATAAAATGGTATTTTGATTCTGAAGCATCTTCACATGTGAGTAAAGTAAATTCACATTTATAATTAAAATAGCAAGTGATATTCAGTTAGCAAGGAATGAACTTACAGATATGGAAGACAAACAGAATGTTGAGATTTATGTAACGGTTTTAATTTACAAAGAGTAATATTAAAAGAGTAATGTTAAAATGTATACTATATGTACCGAAAATAAAAGTTAATTAAATTTTCGTTAACTCTGCAATACGACGTAATCGTATTTAGTTTAGTGCTAGTGCAGTTGTATATTTAGTTTAGGGTGTATTATTTTTTGTATGTTTAGTATTTAGTTTATGTATTTAGTAATTATGTTTTTTAGAAATATAATAGGTGAAATTAATAATTAAAACCAGAATGAAAATTTAATTAAAACGGATGGCTGATTGGTGGATTAAAACATACACATTATCTTGCTTCTCAAAGGTAAAACGAGTTTATGCTGTAAATCAACATAAAACATTGTCAGTTTCAAATTCAACAATTTTATGGCAAATTCAGAAAACAATAATTCGCATTTATGGCACTAAATGTGTCTTAACATAAATTTAGCTGAGCATTTCAGTTGAAAATATGATATTTTATCTCGGAATATATCAAAAATAACGAAATACCATTTTTATGAAACCTGTAACAAATTTAAGTTGTAGACATTAGATATTTTTTGGAAGCCATAAAGATGAAAAATTTGCAATGCCTTTGCCGGGAATCAAACCGCAGACCTCTGGAATACGCGCCCAGCGCGCAGACCACCACCCCTCGAAAGCATGCCAAGAAGGTGGGAGAAATACCTTATAAAGTAATCAAATATCTTTTCTATAAAGAAGTATTAAATTACTTTGCGACGCGTTAAGTTTGTGCACACAAACGTACGCATGTGCTCCAGTGAAAGTTAAGCTTTTAGGGGCAACTAAATATTTTAGAATTTTCATCCAGCATAAATCATAAATATGTTTTAGTTTATAATTTAAAACGTTAAGATTCATTACCGTAGTTAAAAAATATAAACTGATGGTCTAATAAGAAACTAACACCATCTGATGTTGAATTCACAAGCCATGAATTCATTAAAATTCCAGAGGACAAAGACATATAAAAGAAAATTCTTAGATGAGTACAAAACTAAAAATTCTTAGATGAGTACAAAATTCTTAGATGAATACAAAATTCATAGATGAATACAAAACCAAAACGGCGCTGCCGAAAGCGCTAATGTTACCTTATTAGAAATGTCAAAATGTTTCATACTTATATCCAGCTTACCATAAGCATCATTTTTAGAAATCATAGCAAAGAATGCAGAGAATGTAAAAATTGTTTTCGGAGTAAGAAACATTAAAACTCTCATCCAAATTCGAACTGAAAGATGTGCTCTCATCCGGACTCGAACTACGGATTTTTCAATAAAGTTGCTGGCTGGATGTGTCAACAACTTACATTACAACAGGTCGCATCAGAACGTCTATGATTTCTTGCAAGAGTATTAGCTCTTCCTAGCACGAAAAGTGCAAATATTACATTAACGAAGGCTATGCATTTAAAGCTTACCGTTAAAACACCTCAGTTTTATTTAAAAAAAAAGGTAAAACGGGCAACTTTGTACTAAAAAGAAACCCAGTGCACATAATTTTTTTAAATTACTGTACAACATTTCAAGCGTACGTTTTCACTATATTGGTTGAAAAAGAAGGAAACAGTGTTAAATATGTGCCCAACGGGCAAACTAAGCAAGAAATATGTTAACAAAGAACTCAACAAAGATAAACATAAAAAATGCATGTGCTTTTTAGGGCTCAAATTTCAAATAATGTGTGTTTTTCCATTTTTCAAGAAAAGTGCTTAAAATCTGCATTAGCGTTTTACTGCAAATATTGCTAAGAAGTGTGACGTCATTCAAGTGTAGCTACTTAAGAATAAGCGGCACCAAAAGAAAGTTCTCCGCTGGTCATTTTTCACTTCTAGTGTCTTCAGGTGTTCACTTTGTCATAATTTCTTTCTGTACGGATGGTGACTTCGTTTGGCAGTTAGCATATAGAAGAGACATCATATTTGACATCAGAAGATGACATCGTTCACGTAAAGCAGAGTTTAGTTGGATACGCCGGATCAAAGCTCCACTCTTCAGAATGTGAACTTCCGGTTAAATATTGCTGATTGGCTGAGATTAACGCTTTCTCATTCACAAATGTTTTCATGTCACGAAAACATCTACGCATTTAGCCCTATTACCAACCTCTGAATCTCAAACTAGAGAAATTATAAATCGCCTTCAATGATTTCATTCTCCGTAGTGTATTGTATGATTATTAATCTCTACGTTGATTATTCTCTCAGTATCATTAATAATTTGATTCTCCATAGAACGTACCATAATATTCATTTACGGCAGTGGGATTTGCGAAATTTTTCTTGTTTCTCTACATCAAAAGTCCATATTATGTATTTAATATTTTAATATTTTTGAAAATTAATGCTGATACAGATTTGTTTTTACATTTTTGTTATTTTTTAAGCACTGAAAAATTTAATGAAAGATGTTCACTTTGCTATGATTTATTACGCACTTCACTAATTAAAATATTAAACACTTCAGTATATGAAATATCTACTGTAAGCTTGACTTGTGTGATAACATTAAAATATTACTACTATAAATAATCTTATACATTAAAATATTTAGCAGAGCTATAGGAATCAGGGAAAGAAAAATGTAATGGCTTTGTTTTAGTATACACTGGTCTCAGTTATTAATATATGCTTCCTTCTCAGCAATTTAATTTTAGGGCTTCCTTAAATGAAAACAGAAAGGATAAATGTTGAAATTTTGGTGCACTTGAAATGCTTCTTGGAAGCCTAAGTGACAAAGGCTTTAGAGATATTTAATGAAGTGCAATTATGACAAAGTATTTATCGATTTATTTTATTAAATATTTTACTTTGCTAATTTTTTAGTAGCAAGGAATGCATGAGGCTAATCTCTAAGCATGAATTAAAAGCTTGCAAAATATTTCTTACAGAGTAAAATAATAAATAAAAAAAGGAAGAGAAAAACTGAATTAGAAAGTAGATGCGCCACCTGGAAGAAGCAATGAACGGTTTTTGAACTGATTTCTTTAGATAAGAGATATTCCTCTAAGACCTTAAAGAAACTAGCGGTAAGTCTAGCTTTACTGCAGAATATATTGCAGTATTTGTAAGGGAAGCCTTTGTGGACTTCCGTGATAAGTTTGATAAGTTTTTAAAATTATTTGTCTTCCATGTAAGATAAAATTGATTATTTGAAATAAAAGGTGTAATCGCATTGTGTAGATTCTATTTCGATTTGTGATCTCAGTTCTTTTAACGTATCATAATGTGTTCGGTGTTGGGTTCAAGGCGAAGAATTTTTAATTTTATACCGTTTACTGATTTGTACATGTTGCCGCTTTTCATTTTTACTGTAGTGGATGTCACCGTTTACTGATTTGTACATGTTGCCGCTTTTCATTTTGACTGTAGTAGATGTCAAGTAGTAGGTGTAAACTGTAAAATCAAACTTACCCGTTTATCAGATTTTCGCACTGCTTCATGTATTTTCCACACGAGTTCAGGTCCAGCACTTGCAACTTGCTTTCCGATTTCAAAATACTGGGTGATAGGATTAGCTTCTTGGGGGGTCTGAGGAGCAGGTTTCAACTTGGAAAACATGCCGATTCTGGACAGGCAGTCACCTTCTCAACACCATTGGCACCATATACATCTGTTTCTTCAACACCGGCACTTCATGATGAAATCTATAAATATATTATTCTACTGTAGCAAAATTTTATAGAAGTAGCAAAACTAGTTTTTGTTATTAAATTTGCTATATGCATTATTCTGATATAACTAATGCATATAAAATTTCAGTACACAGAAAAATAATAAAGCATTTTAAAAATTTTTATATTGCTAAGTTTTCCTTTTACTTGGTACATGTGCACACTTTTCCTCTGCTTTTGAAATAATATAAAGGTTTCTGAAATGCAATATGACAAACAAAAATGTTAATGGTACTTTTTCACAAAGCAAACATGTCATATTCGCGTAGATCTACTAGCAATATAATAAATGCGCATCGTAAGAATATCTGCAAAATCATAGATCATAGTTTATAGATTAAATATCGTGTTTAATTGTAAAAAGACTGGCCATTAATGAAATGGAATTTAGTTTTGGAACTTTTGAAATATTTTAAATGTAAACTACATTTATTTTGAATATTATTAATCTCCAGATTAGTTATTCATACGCATTTCAAACAGTGCTCTCGTTTATGTAACTGCATTGAAAGTGAGCAGTTTATGTATATCGAATATTATTTCTCATGCAATATATGGTTCAGTAGTGCCATGTTCAGAAATATGCATTTCTCCCTTACGGATGCGCAGTCCTGAAGATGCATAAAGTTCAGTGCTATAATAATCCCGCGGTAGTAGCCACGAAGGTGCCTCTGTGCGTGTGAGAATACTGTGCATCCTTCCGACGTCCTAGTTAACGAAGTGTCTAGTAACCGTAATCCTCTTGAGCGTGATGCCGCGATCTGATGTATGCAATCCTGACGTGGAAAGGATTTGTCGAAGATTACAACTGAGATAGGAACCTAGCTGAATATTACAGACAGCATTTATATGAAGCATTGTTTGGAATTGTTACCTGTTGCTGCCAACTACCTGCGAACATAGCAGTCAAGTTAATCGACCGTTATCCATCCTTCCATATTCTTCATGTTATATTTATTCCTCACATGTTATAGGTGGACATATCCTATTCATTGGTTTTGTTAAACTCAAGGAAACCACACATTAAAGTTTATGTTTAGCTTACAGCACATACGGTCTTTTGGTAAGAAACCCTGTTTCACTCTATGCCAAAACGCTTATCATTACCAGATTAAAATTCAGCAAAGTTAAATGAAATGTTTAGAATTGCCTATTGAACTGTGACCTGTTAACATATGTATACATATATCGACATGTGTTACAGATTTATCATATCTTCATAAGCAAGCATTTTTGTTCATGACTTATCACAATAAACCAAGTAAGTTGAAAAACACTAAGAATAAAGAAAGCTACTCAGGTTTCAAGCTGAAAGATTGATGTATGAATATTTCAACTATCAGGCAAAATTTAACGTAACCAATACCAGTGTAAGACGATACTGGTTACGATTACAACTTAGTTTGTCATTTGTTTGATAATTTTTACAACTTGTGTAGTTAATGACATGAGCTACAAAAATTTCCACAGAAGAATTATGCATCTAAGTCAGTTATTAATAGACGTATTTTGATTTCAATGAGAAATACCATTTGGATCCACTGATTTAACAGTTAAACAAAAAGCAAAAACAACTTCCAGAAATTTATTGAAGAATTACAATGAAATATGTATGTACAAGAAAGGTCAATCTGCTATCAGTCTTAGGAAATTAAAATAAATGAAACAAGTAGCAAATAAATGTTTGCAAAACATTTCTTCTTTGAAATAAAGAAATAATTAATTCATTGAAGAAAATAACAGTAATGAAGATTGTTCACTTCCACGCCTATCGAATTAATCTCCACTTTTCGTTACCCTGCGTTGGCAACACGCTTTTGAGATTTATCGCTCATAGAATGCGGTCGCTAAAAGCATAGCTGTTGTAATTCTTATTTTAAAGCTTATCTGTATTGCTGTGTTATTACTAAATGTTTGCGTGTGAATGTTTTATTATTAAATGTATGCAGGTTGGTTTAAATAGACCGAGAGTGGTTGAATTTATTAAAGATATTTAAAATCGAAACTACTTCATCCATTTCGGCGCCATTCTAACACAGGAACGTAAACAAAGATATTACTGGTTATTGAAAACTATTTGTGCAGCTGATAGGGATAGATTATCTAATATGGCATAATAAATGTGTTTTATGTAATGTTACTTTATAATGTACAGTTTTCTGACTATATTCACATTGCGTGCACAACCTATTCGAAGTACTAATTCAGAAGTCAAACAACAAAAATCAGCGTTATACCTACAAAATTTTCACAGGACTAGTTTCGATGGTTTTACCGAACCATCATCTTCAGCTGCAAAACCGCAAATGAACAAGGTAGGAAATAATGATTAGATAAGATAAGAAAGCCTGAACAAGAATGAGCAAGTGGCGCCATCTGTTGGCGAAACCAGAAATCTGTTGGCGTTCTGGTTTCGCCAACAGATGGCGCCACTTGCTTATTCTTGTTCAGGCTTTCTTATCTTATCTAATCATTATTTCCTACCTTGTTCATTTGCGGTTTTGCAGCTGAAGATGATGGTTCGGTAAAACCATCGAAACTAGTCCTGTGAAAATTTTGTAGGTATAACGCTGATTTTTGTTGTTTGACTTCTGAATTAGTATTTATTCGGCGTGTTATTGTGTCTTAACTATTCGAAGTAGTTTGAGTATTGTTTTAACTAATACCAGTTTGATGAAGTTAGTTTCCAAGCATGTATATCTTATGCATACATCTGATTTATGACCGAGTACTTTAAATCAAATAAAAAACAAAGTAAGCAAACTACCTGCAGAAGGAAAATAAATGAGCTAAGGCTTAGGGTAAAACATTTTTTACGCAGAAGTTAAGAACATTTGTTGCTTTTTAAATTTACATTTTATTTACGCTTAAATCAGTGCATTGTTCTCAGTAATGAGAAAAGCTTATTTATGCATAAATTAATTTAGCATAAAACCCATCACATTTAAGAGTAAACATATTTACATAAAAACTGGTAACTTTTGGTTTTCAACAAAACTTCTAGATGAATAGAAATTAAATTCTACACTCAGTAGGAAAAACGTATTATATAGCCGAAAAATAAACACTGAATTCATGAAGTATTAAATGTATTACACGAATTAAAGACTTCAAAATTCTATCTTGTGCTAACACATGTTACATAATAATTTAGCAGGAAACATAAGATATCGTTCAGTTAATATATTATAACTTAAAATATGGTTATTTTGTTAACAAACGAAAATGTTTTGTTATGCCATAGTATTGATATTAGTTTGTTTATTTAAGTAAACTATGATTAAAACAACAACCAGTTTTATTCAACTGAGATAATTCAGACAGACCTAGTAATATGCCAATATTATCGACATAACAAAACTGGAAATAGAACTGAGGTAGTTAAGACGATTCCATCATTTTTATATATTTTATATAAGGACAAATGTATCAAACAGCAAATTTTCAAAAGAAGGTACAGCTTTTTATATAGCAAATAATTATGAATACTGGGCAAGTTTGATTGTTGATAGTTGCTGCTGTATTAGGTTTCTATTATTTCATCCATACTTCATCTTTCTGTGATGTAATCTTCGACTCTTATAAGTGTAACAACAAAATTCACGAAAATGAGTTTAAAACATTTGCTTATTTTAATAGAAAATTTATAATCATCCGAAATTAAAATGCAGAAGATACGTCTCGAGGCGTACACAAAAAGTGCTTTTTCAAAATTTTAAAATTATTCAAGTATCATATTTCTCTAAATAAGATAACAAAAAAACCTTGCTGACCTTGCCTGACTTTGTCTGTGAGATTGAAAACAAGTAAAACTGAGTATTCTCATGTGAAGATAGATGATTGATTGACGTTTCTCCTGTATTTAGCTTTTAGTTTAAGAGTGCTGTCATTATAGAGAAGAGAAAGGAGAAATTTCGGAGTGACTACTGTTTAAAGCCTATTTAATGCTCTTGGTTACAATCCAATAACACACGTTTACATACAGAGATATAAGCAGGAGGTCCCATAAATATTAATAGGGACTTTAAGGGAAGGTACAGCCCTTCAATGTGATTGAAAATTGCATAACAGGTTCAAACATTTTGACGTACCCTTTCCCTCCGTCTCAGTATGCCTTTTGTGGTCACGGTAAGTAATATGTCTCGGTCCCCTCTGTATTATTGATGAGGAATTCAGATATCGGTCCAATGTTACGCAAACGCCAATATAGGAATGGCTTAGGAATGGTATTTTGCTATTCGGTCAAAATTTAATATGCTGAGATATGCACTAATTCGATCATTTCAAATATTTGTAACTGCGTAATTAATACAGATAAGATTCCGAAATAAAAATTTTATAAAGCAGTTTGATGAACAATTATCATCGTTCCGGATGATAAACATAAAGAAAAAATAAAATGAAGTTTATACTAGTTTTGTTGTCCGCGACTGAATGGCCTCAATTCAGAGTTTTCGTGATTTTCTCGAGTGCACCTTAAACTCGATCCACGTTTTGGTACAGAGCGGTCCAAGAAGATATACGTCTTCTTTGACAATTGGCTTTCTAATGTTTTACTTAAATAACCTAAGTAAGCCATACCAACATTAGATCGGCTCCCAAATGACTCTTAAATACTACCTGGATATAGGTATTTACACTCATGTCTATAAATTAAGCATAATTCAGAATCACACGGAAAACGAACTCTAAAGCAAAATTTTCACCTGTAGAATTATCGCCACATCTTCACGAATAATATTCAAATTACAGGAAGTCATCAGATGACGCCGGGAGTACGTCACAATGACGAGAGTGTAACAGAAGTGTATATAAGGAATGGTGGCAAAGACGTAAAATTGTTGACAAGTGTTCTGTAAGCCCCTCAGTGCCACAACCGAATAGGTATGACACATGGGACGCATGTGGATTATTTTGTACGTGGTAGAATTATTGGCTGCCTGGAATGTGGGCATACTCAGATGGAAATAT